AATCTTACTAGAGCATATCCAATACAAATACTTCCTTTACCTATAAATTCTGATGTCTACCAAAATATATTTTAATGCAATGATTTTGAAAGTTTTTAAATCAATAGTATAATTTTTAAAAAACAATCACCACATAAAGAATGGATCCCCAAGTAGGTAAATCCGGCTTCTAGGATGCCAAATAGGCAATGAGGGTCCTGCTCATCAGACAGAGAGTTATAGAATAGAAAAACAACTCGGTCTTTGTGGGTGCTTCTGCAAACAGGAGATGTGAGAAGTGTTCAGAACAAAGAAAGGGTCATCCCCCAAAACAACAGGAAGCTTTGATCTTTCTCCTTGCCTAGAGCAAGGTGAAAGGGTCTTCTTAAACAAGTCTGATCTGTGTATTTAAGTCAAACAACACTTCCAACATGTATGGGCAAGCAGAAGGGTTATTCAAATGGTAAAAAATTCAGGCTCCAGATTTTGTGAACAAGTATACCAAGTGTAGAATAAATTTTTTTTCCCCTCTTACAGTCTTGACAACAGGAAATAATAAGTTCTTAAGTGGGAGTGATTAGATAGTGTAAGAATGCAAATTGGGCCAAGCAATAAAGCCTAAGCAATTTTGTACATTTGACATTCTTGCCTACAACTTCCAGTTCTATACTTCTTTCCAGGCTTGGTGTGCATCCCAGCCTTACAACCATTGATGCTTTTGACAGATCTTGGAAACAGTGACTCGTTTATAAAGACGTATAATATTTAAGAAAACACACACAGAAAAAAGAGAGAAAGGTGTGAGGACTAGGCTTGTGTTTTGACCTATCCATGAAAAATGGATAAAGGTTCAGACACATGGTACTTTTATCAGAAATAGAATATTGTCTTGCAAGGCCCAGCCTGTTCTGCATAACAATTTATAGAAGCACCCCAAGTTGTAAGTGCTGAAACCTATCCACTGAGCTGCCATGGGGCTCTCAAATATTTGGCACAATAATGTGAAATATCGCTTCTAATAGATAAATACATCATGGATACTAGGGATTTCTGCTTTTGAAGCCATAACTGTTTGCTTTCTTTCTTTTTTTCTCTTGGCAGTAGAAACTTTTCGTCCCTGTTCACATTCCTGCACGGAAGCAAAAGTGACAGTCTTGATTCTGTTTTGAGAGAGACAAAGGAAGTGTCAAGGAGCTCTTCTACTCTTCAGTCCTACTGCAGTGCTTACCTGGCAGATTTTGCCAGCTCCAAAGCAGCTCCAAATGGAGAGATAAATAGATGAAAAATAGAGTTCTAAGGCTGGACCCTCACTTTATTGTTTATGGGAAATCCCTGTGATCCCTAGAAAGGGAGATAGTAAGTGAAATAGATCCTCAGTTCCAGGTAGCACCCATCCACCAGCCAGACAAGTGAACAGAGGGATAGGGCAGAAGTCCAGTTATCTAAACCCACTCACTAGTCCAGAGATGGAGAAACAGGGGCAGTTTGAGGTAGTGTCTTACTTAGTCAGAGTCCTTATATCTTTCTTGTCCTGGATTTGGGTCTTCAAATTATTCCTGAGGTCTGTGTACATGTGAGTTCAGGGCAGGTTATACCACACAGGGATCCACTAGTGCTGCTGCAACTGTGAAATTTGCACAAAATTATATGATCAGGTTGAAACCTAGCCCAGGGCCCTTGTTCACCAAGCTATATGCCTTAAACAGCCTGGGTTGGTTCACTGGCAACATCTTGTAAATTTCAAAAGTGGTTTCTTGTGTGCTTGGGGCTATCCACGAGGGAAGCTTGTTTGGCCCAGGAGTCACAATCAGGCAGATCCTGAAACTTATGCTCTTGAGATAACCTTGAAAGACATTATCCCTATGTTCACAGAGCTATTTACGACTGAAACAAGAGAACTGGCTCATCATTCCCTTAAACCTACAGTATGTCTCATAATAAGGCCACCTGTCACTGGCCATGTGACATTTGTGTGAGTCAGAAAAAGGTATATGCAAGTCTGAGCCAAGTTTAGCAATCAGAGAGTGAGCTAGATTTTAATCCCCATTCTTCGCCTGGACCAGTCTGTACGGTCACACCTGGTGGTTCTGCCTATACACTACTTTTAAAAATAAACCTGGAAACTATTTAGTAAATGGCAGAATCACATTACATTGTATATTTTTAGAGTGTTAATTGCTTTAATAATGCTCTTATTCATTGTTAAATAAATCAGAACTGTCAGACATGAAAATGGATTGGGTCTCACTCTCTCTCTTGACTTCTGAGAAGCTCCAGCCGAGGCACAGGAGGGGAAGAGGCAAGAGCTGGAGCCTGCCAGATACCTTCTACTGCAAATGCTGGCACTAACTACAGCCGCCTGTCATCTCTAATAATTTTTCTTGCAGGAAATGTCATTGCCTCACTGCATTGCAAGAAAGTGATGTCATAGTATGGGGCCTTGATCCATTTCCTGACTTTTAACCTGAGTCTTCTAACCTTTTTCAGCTGCACTGTACTCAGAGAAAATGAAACACATTGAAACGGAAAGGCCAACATGTCTCATACAGCCATTTGAGGCCCCAGGGCGGGGTTAACTTCTGCATACATATTAATGATCAAAACACAGTCTTGTTTGGGTGTCACATCCTGGATGTGGCATGGACCCAGTACCTAGGAAACGGAAAGGAAATAATTCTCAGGATGTATCTGTAATTTCTTGGCAGAAACCCTTCCTTTTCCTATTTTGGGTTTAATTAGTAGTGACAACGTTAAATTTAATTAGGATGCCTTGGTTGGCTTTTGTGCTGGTGAGGATCTTTGTTGTTAAACTCTGTGTGAAAAAGAATCAGGGAGCCTAAACGGGCATTTTAAACCTTACATACTGCATTTGTTTGTCCATGTCGTAGGATTGGTTACAGCCTCAGCCCAAATGACATTATGAAGCTATTTCCTGGAATGTCCAGGACTGAAATTGCCCTGTCAAGAACAACTCTGTTCTTTCAGGGATTTCAGAGAGCAAGAGCTCAGATTGCATTCTTGCTCTGTTATTATAAGTTTTTCCCTGCCAGGAAACCTCTGGTCTCAGATAATTTGCATATATCCAATGAGAGTGATCTACTGTTCTATGGAGGTTTTCAAGATTGCATGACAGCATCGTGGAAGAATCTCATATGGGGAAAGGGGATTTTTTCCCCCCTTCCCCTAAGCCTTATTTTAAATAGTTTCCTTCCCACAAGCTGATGTGTCTACATTCAAAGAGTAATAAGTAACCCAGCCCATTTTCCTGCCTTGGCCCTTGTCACTAGTTCAGTAATATCAATAATCACACAAAACTGAAAGTAGTTTGTTTAAAATAAAGGTGCCCTAGTCCTTCCCATCTATAAAGCTGACTTTTTAAAGAGCATGATAAAGAAAATTAACTATTTAGTTCTTCTTGGCAATGTCATAGCAAAATTTCTGCTCATTTCTTTGTGATCGGAATGGCAAGGAATAACTTCATGTATTTCTTGATATATTTGAATATCATGTTTTACATTATACATGGGATTCCAGTTAACTGAAAGCATACAGTACTACATTATACTTAGTGTCACAAAAATTTTGTATCCATTGGGGTTCTTGAGAATATTTGGGTTTGCTGAGAGCTTCTTGCTGTAGAACTGGGAAGCAACTATTGGACTTTGCTGGTCTTATGGTTGTGTCACAGTGGCTGGAGCCCCAACTTTTGATAAAAGATCCAACATTCAACTTAAATGCTTTAACCAAAAGTGAAGTATACATAAGAAAGCAAAATGTAAGTAAGTAAATAACCAGGGTGCCCAATACTGGGTAAGAGTGCTCCAATAATATTAAAATTAATTCAGACATTATACTAACAAAATTGAAGTTCCAGCTTACATAATTACCAAGTCCAGGACTAGATATCTTATGTTCTATTAAGTGACAGATAGACACGTACTGATTGAAGAGCCAGGGGCAGGGAGGCTTGTACAGAACTTCCAGACACCAACATTTGAACTGTGTGTTCTTGAACAAGTCACTTAGCCTCTCTCACTGTCATATTTTTCAGCTGTGAAATGAAGATATTTAAGTGTCTAAAGAAAGTGTTAGGTCTACAATTGTTATTCTGAATTCATCTTCCTCAAATGAGTGGAATCCATACGACTGAAACTCAGAGACATCCAATACATTTGTTGAATTAATCTGTGACACTTAACACTATTTTTGAAAGTTTGAGGTGTGTTGAATTTTATGCCAAATGCTTTATCTATAGAGTATCATTGAGTTCTCTCAACAAGTCTATGAATAAAATATTACCATTAGTTCCATTTGCTCAGGAGAAAACTGAAGCTTGGCCTAAAATGATAAAGGGCCTGGATCTCCAGCCAGGTGACTTTCATTCTAAAGACTTACCCAGTCTCTGCTACACTACACCAGTGTGTCTCAAACACAGTATGCACCAGAGTCACCTGTGAGAAGGCTCTCAGAGACAGATCACTGAGATGTAATCCCAGGCTTCAGTTCTCAAAGTCTCCAGGTGATGCTTCCACATATTGGAATTCTGGGGATTATAATTTGAGAACCACTGCACTCTACTTCAGAATGCTACAGTTGCAAGACCAAGACAGAGAGAATGTAAGAGGAGCAGATTTCTGACCCAACAAAGAAAGACTTCCCACATTTAGAGCCACACAGTAGCTCAGCAGAGTTTCCCCTTGGGAGTGGTTATACTGTAAGAGGCACACAGCTCTTGGGCCATGTGATGAGAAGTTGGCCTAAGAAGCGTCCAAGTCCCTTCTAACAATTAAACGCTATAAGTGCAAAAGGCAAGAGACAGGGAGGCTAGGAGAGAGGATCGTGCTCCCTTGGGAGGAAACCCTGCCCTGGATATAACTCAGTGTTTAACTGTGCGTTAAGGAGTTAGAATCACTTTGGTAATGACAAGTGGAGAAAAGATAAGGAAAATGTTTTCTGAATTTAGGGATTTAGAATTGCAGTATAAGGAAACATTACCCAGGGAACAAGAAAAATACAAAGAAAACATTCACTCATGAAAATTTATATTGCAGATTTTAACATTTCTATGATGACAACAATATAATTTCATTTTTGACATCATAATATGGAAATTGTAAATGTTAGCAATTAAAAAGGGCCAACTTGTACAACAGTTTCAATTTTTATTCTTTTAAGAACACAGAGGAAAAAAGTTTAAAGATCAAAATTATTTTGTAGATATTTCAAAGTGACAACTACAAACGAGGCAGGTTCAAGGGGAGGGACACAGGGCTGAATTTACTGTCCAGTCTTCTGACCCTGGGAAGAAAAGAAAGGAAAAGGAGCGTTTAGTTCTACAGTTTATCAGAGAAAACAGAGTGTCACTTCTGATATTTAATTTAGCCTTTTTTTATGTCACAGAACCCCCCTGAAGGATGACTCAAATCACGACATCATGGTACCACTTAGGGATTTAAGAGCTATCAACAGAGAGAACAGAATTGGTGGTAGTGGTGGAGGGAGGGTGTCAGAAAGTATGAAGAAGAAATACACATGTAATAAAATATCTGGCATAACTGTAAAACAGAAAGAGCCCTTGCTTTTGTGGGCCAGGGCTATCTGAAGAAGTGAGGAATCTCTCTGTTGAATATTTCTTTTGGTCGTTTGCTGTTTGTTTTGTCTGGTTTAGATTGGCGTGGAGCTTTTCAAAAATTAACAGAAGGTGAAAGGGCACTTTCTGAAATCTTTAATTGCCAGCTAAGAATTTTAAACCTGATTAGAAATGAGAGGCAAGAAACACACATTTCTTGAGCACGTATCAAGTGCCATGGTCTGCATCAGACTCTTACAAGAAATGATACTTTGCCTTTGCAACATGTAAGGCAGAGGTTATCTCCATTTTACAAATGTGGAACTTTAGGCCCAGAGGGCTTTAGTACTGATTTACTCAAGGCTAGTCAGATAGTAAGAGACAGAGGAAACAAACCCCAAACTGTCTGATTTCAGGTCAAGTGCTGCACGTGCGGTTCTTCACGTACCGTGAATAATGGTGAAAGTATTTCTTCAACAAACCACCGTGCCTTGGCATGGAAGTTCAAATCTACTATTGAGCTGTATCTTCCTTCCTAGAGATTCTTCTTGGATTCCACTACCATAGTAAATTCCCTGTGACTGGCAAATTGTTTTAGACTTCAATACCCCTGCTGTAAGTTTGAGTATGATTTTAGAAGGAAATAGAAATGAAATTTCATATTGTATCCTGCTATTATTTTGACTCTCATATTTCCAATACCACACTTCTTGGTCACCTTTGTGTTTTTACATTGCACTCATCGCCTTCTAATGTACTATTTTATTTTTTAAAATTGTGCTTATTGTTTCTTTTCTGTCCCTCTAACTTGAATGTAGACTATATTTTTGTCCATTTTTCTTCAGGAATGCATGTTAAGCACTTAGAAGAAAGATCAGCAAATTTTTCTGTAAGGAATGCCATAAGGAGTATTTTTGGTTTTATAAATTATGTGATCTCTGTCACAGCTACTCACTGAGCATGAGAACAGCCATAGGTGATTTGTAAACTGGTGAAACTATCCTTAGTTTTAGGTTCATATAAAAAGAGGTATTTAGCCAGTTTTGGTCCGTGGGTTATTTGCCATCTCCTGACCTAGTGCCCAATACATAAGTACTCAGAAAATGGAATTTACTGGGACTGTTCTAATGACACAGATTGTATCCTGTCGTCCCCATGCTTCCCAGCGCATGAAAACAGTACCCAATTTAGGCAGCGCTCCTGCCACCCCAGAGCTATGGGAATGGCTGCTGGCACAGAGCAGGGCTGAACCCGCTGTGACTCAGAGTGTCCACACTAGGGGGGATCTCTGTGAACCTCCATCCACTCAGCTCTCAACTGGGTGGTGCCCAAACAACTGGGAGAAAACACACTCAACCACCTAATCTTTGATAAAGGGGCCAATCAAACTCACTGGAAGAATGATAGCCTCTTTAATAAATGGTGCTGGAAAAATTGGCTCA